AAGAAAACTCTTCAGTGGTCTATTTGCAAAGTATTAAACTACTAAACTGCGTGTACTCTACTCTGTTAGATAAGGGCTTGACAGAGTTTCCCATAATCCAGCAAGGTCAAAGCCAACACACCAAGCCAGCTGATCACTATGAAGTCTGAAACCAGGAGAAGGCCTACAGATTCCAACCAGCCAGGTGGCAGGTCCCACTGCTTAGAGCCCCACAGGTCAAAGTCACAGCTAAATCCCAGGAGACCTGGGAACATCAAACTACTTCTTCGAGCCATCAGAGTGGTGTGGAAGGACATCTTACCACCAATACAAGGGCTGGGGACTTCTTACCAGGGCTAGCCCTCCAGGAAGTGGTAACTGCTTAAACCAAAAACATATGGATAATCCAGACATGTATAATTCATAGTTGACTATATTAGAACTCTTCTAAATTTATAATGATGGTGATAATTTGTGGAAAGTTTCTAAGGAATAAATAATTGATGACACACTCCGTATCACAAGACACAGGTGTGGACGTATTAAAACAAAAGATTTTTCCACCCAGCATTTACCATGTACCTACTGTATACTAGTGCTTAAGAGTCACCTGTTTTCACATTGGAATGTGCTCACAGAACATGGGCAGCAGTAACTCTGAGGTTCTAAAGGGACAGGATCCTGGAGCCTTTGATGATGAAACATTTGTTGAAGCCCTACTATGTGCTAGACACTTGCACGAACTGAAAATAGAAACATTAAGATTGTTCTAGCTCGTAAGGATCACATAGGCTAGTGGTTTGAAAAGATATTTTAATTTTTTCCTGTCTATAACTGTGTTCAGAGACCCATGACAGAAAATCATAGAATTAAATCAGATGAGGTAATGCACCCCTGTAATTCCACCTATACAGGAGGCATAGGCAGGAGGATGGCAGACTGAGGCTGGCTCAGGCAAAAAGTGCAAGATCCTATCTGAAAAATGACTGAAGCACAAAGGGCTGAGAGCATGGAGCATGTGGTAGAGTGCCTGCCTAGTAAGCATAAGGCTCTGAGTTCAAACCCCAGGACTGCCAAACAAAAAATAAAAATAAAAAGGAGGAGAAAGAAGGAAGAAAGGGAAGAAAGAAAGAGAGAAAGAGAAAGGAAGGGAGAGAAAATCACAGACTTAGCACATTCACCAAGCTGGAGTATGAATATATCTCAATTGGACTGGCTTTATGGTGAGCCTAGAGTGAGATTTAGCTTAGTTTTGCAATACAAAAATCACCTGCAGTGACAATCCTTAACAAAACAAACTTTTCTGAGTGAACTGAAAAACAACTATAAACCAGTCATGAAAAATAACAAAATCCAGGCAACTTACAGAAGAAATTCATTTTAAAATCTACAGATAAAAAAATACATCCTTGAAATACAATTTGAGTATTTTCACACATCTTTGTTCTAAATATGCAACTATCATCTTTCTGTAATACCCTCCCAATTTTTATGTTCCTTATAAAGACTCCTTTTTAGTATTTAAATTTTTACTTTACATCATTAATGTGAACTAAATGTTTGTGTATTTGTATGTTGAACCCTAAGCCCCAATGTTAGGATGTTAGGAGCTGTGGCCTTTGGGATGTATTTACATCGTAGGGGTGGAGCCCTCAGGAATGGGGTCCTATTCTTATAGGGGGAAACTCAAGAGCTTGCTTCTGTCCTCTGTTCTCAGCCATCTACAAATACGAAGCAGAGCCTTGGATCTTGAACTCCCCACTCTCTAGAACTACACAGCAGTCCAAACTGACTGATAAAAACATGATTTCATTTCTGATGAAGTCTGGCTACAGTGTAGCAATTCCGATGTCTCATTAAGCATCCTAATTTTGGTTATGTTTGTGTAGACATAATATATATAAATCCATGTAATTAGTGTTTCATAGTGGAGTCTTAAATTTTAAACTTCCTTAATGCTACTTTTAACATGATACATAGTTATTACCAGTTATAAAAAGTAAACATCAAAATACCAAAGTAAATTTTTTTGCCAAAATTATATTTTATTCAGTTTTGCCTCTCTATAACGGAAATCATCTTTTCATTTGCAAAATTTGCATACTTTAAAAACATATGTAAATGAAAAAGAGAGTTGTCTGAGTAGGGCAAGAATAACCATGGCATAAAATGTGTTTCAGATGTTGGAAAAACAGCAGAGTTGCAATTTAAAACTCACTGCAGTATAAATTGTTCAAAAACTGTCTTAAAGAGGGCTAGGGACTTGGCTCAAGTGATAAAGCACTCACCTAGCAAGCACAAGGCTGTGGGTTCAATTCCTAGCACTGTGAAAGGAAAAAAACACTGTTTTAAAGAAATAAGTTTACTAGGCTGGGGATGTAGCTCAGTGTTAGAGCACTCTCCTAGCAAGCACAAGGTCCTTGTGTACAACTCCTAGCACTGCGAAAACAAACAAGAAACACGTTTGGAGAAAAATAATTGGCAACAGCATGATGGATGACTTTGGACTCCTAGGTATGGTTGCTAATCACCCTGATTACCAAAGCAGTGAGCTCATCAAAGGAACAGTGGAGCAGGGAGAACCACCTAAGGTATAAAGCCAGAATGACCTAACTTTATCAGTAAATTCTTTCTTTAGGCACAGAAAGCAGAATGGCTGCATATCTTGGCCTGTCACAATTGAGAGCTAAATACAGAAACCCAGAGCTCTAGAAGATCTCCCAACAAGCAAAGTAGAAAAGGGAAAGGAGTACCTTTCTGGAGTTTAATCCCCTAGGTTTAGTATCAACAGTGATACTGACTGGTCTTGGGACCTCAGGCCATGTCCCTGGGCCTATCTGAAAAGTATGCACTTTGCATAATGACCTCAGTCTCTTTTTTTGTGAAACAAGGTCTTGCTATGTAGCCTAGGCTGGCCTCAGACTTACAGTCCTCAGCCTCATGAGTGCTGGGATTACAGTTATGTGCCATCAATCTCTTCTAGTTCCTTTTACTACTAGCAAATCTACAATGGGCTTCACTCTGGGGCATTTGCTAGGGTTCATATTATGATGTCCCCTCCAAAATTCATGTTGAAACTCAGTCGCTACTGTAATAGAGTTGAGACGTGGGACTTTTGGGAGGTGACCATGTCACGAGGACATCCTTGTGACAAGGGCTATGGGAGTGACCCCACTGCGTGAGGACACAGTACTTGTCCTTTCTACCCTTCTACCGTCACCACGTGAAGATGTGGCAAGAAAGCTGCCACCAGATGCCAAATGCCAAGATGTTGGTCTTGGACATTGCAGCCTCCAAAACTGTGAGAAATCAATTCTTGACTTTTATAAGCTATCCATACAGCCAGGTATTTTGTTAGAACAGCACAGATGGACTCCAAGAGCATTTATCACATTTTGCTTCAAACATTGTGCTTGTACACCATGAAAAGGAGTAAGTCAAGGTTCCTCTCTTTTTGAAAAGCTCACAGTCAGAAATGCACTTGTAAAGAAATGATGTCCGTTCTAGTCAGTGAATGCTATGGAAACACAAAAATTACTTAGAGCTTTGCCACACCTCATTCTACTTACAAAAGTGAACTCAAAATGGGATCACAAATTTAAATGTAAGAACTAAAAGTTTTCAAGAACGCATAGGAGAAAATCTTTGAGGCCTTGGGTTAATAAGCAAGCAATTCTTAAGACTCAATACCAAAAGCATGAACTATAAAAGAAAAAAACTGGGCCAGGCATTGTAATGTGTACTTGTAATTCTAGCACTCTGGAGGAGGAAGATCATGTGTTCAAGTCCAGCCTGGGCCCTGAACTTGACTTTTTCATAAAAGCAGACGGCCATACAAAGAAGAATCGTGATCCAGGCTGACCCAGGCAAAAACACTGAGAGCTATTTGAAAAAAATAATTAAAGCAAAAAAGGGCTGGGTGTGTGACTCAAATTCACAGTCGGAAAGAGGGCTTGCCTAACAAGTGTGAGGTCCTGACTTCAAAGCCCAATACTGCCAAAAATAAGTAAATAAATTATAACTCAATAAAGCTGTTTTAAAAAAATACAAATCTGGGCTGAGAGAATGGATCAAGTGGTAGAGTGCCTGTCTAAGCAAGCTTGAGGCCCTGAGTTCAAAACTCACTACCACCCAAAAAAAAAAAGAAAATACAAACAATGATGGGGAAAAATGGGGCTTAATTTCAGGGAGCATATTTAAGCATATACAATCCCCAAGATAGGAAACAAGATTCTCTTAGTGTAGCCATGTGTCTCTTATCCATGTAATTAATAACTGCTTGTGAACGATATCAACACTGTGCAGTGACAGAAGCCCAGTCCCTAAATTACCTTAAGCTTTCTGAACTAAATTGCACAGTCCTTATGACTGCTCAAAAAATAGCAGTAAACTTACAAATTCTAAACTAGACAGTACTGGCCTTTTCTTTTCTTTCCAGTGCTAGAGAGCAAACCAAACGCAGGTCCTCATGCATACCAGGCATGTGCTCTACCACTGAGCCACGTCCCCAGAAATACAGGCCTTTCATTAGGCCCATTTCAGAGCAGAATAGAGCAATAAGGGGAGTCTGAGAGGCAATTCAAACACCCAAGCTCTATGGATAATCAACTGTATAACATACAGTAATTACGGCCTAGAAACATTTAGTCTGGAGCAGCAAAGGCTGACCTAGTAATTGATTTAATAGCTGTCTTCAAAAATATGAACGGTTTTACAGGAAAACTTTGTGTCTCCTTCTCTCTCTCCACTGAGAGAACAAAACCAAGTGATTTAATAATCAGCAAGGTAAATTTAGAATAAACATAAATAACACTGACAGTAACTGCTCCCAGATCCTGGAATAAATTTAACTCAGATATCTGTGCAAAGTTGTTTCCTTGGCGATCATTAAGAACAGGCAAGGCAGAGCTCTCTCAGGTCTAATTGCACTGCTGCCTGGTTGCAGAATTGAACTTAGGAGACCTGACAGGGAGCCATTCCAGGGACAAGGATGGAGTCCACCTGACAGGCACACACCTTACCTCGATATCCCGATTCAGTTGCTTCACGATGGCAGTTATATTTCTGATGTGTTCCTCCAAGAAAAGCCTGGCCAGGCGGTCACCTCCCCCTTTGTTTTGCATTTTCTGCAAACTGCTAACAATGTCATCTTTAATCCGGAAGGCATGCTCCACCAGGGCTGCAGTGGTCTTCTCATGACAGAGGATCCTGTCTTCCAGTTGTTCCACCAGGCTCACAGAAGAGTAGGGTGCCATGGTCAGGGACTGGCTGTGTCTGGGCATGGTTCTCACTCGCCTATAGAAGCGACCCCCATTACAGGAGTTGGTCAGTGGGAGACAAAAAATCATTCTTTTAAAGCCAGATTTAAGACTTCCCAGAGAAAAATATAAATTGTCTATCCCTACAAGCTAACTGGAGAAACCCTGGCTCCTTCTTCATGAGCCAGACAGGATGTTTAAATAATTGTACCCTTGAACTTGAGTGTGCAGGTTATAGGCTCCACACCTCCAAGAGAAAGAAGCTGGCAGAACTGGGCACATAGAGATGCCTCCCCAGTATAAACTGTGATCAAGCTAATGTCTCAAACATGCTCTCCTCCTTCTCTGTGATCAAGCTAATGTCTCAAACATGCTCTCCTCCTTCTCTGTCCTCCTGAAGCAATGGTTTTAAACTCAAATGCCTACAAGGGGCCAGGCAGGGGAAAGAAATGAGTGTAGCACAGCATGCACAATGCAACAGGAAGTAATGGGGACTTTGGAGAACTGGAAAAGGCTGTCCCCAGTTAACAGGAGTCATAATGATGAGTCCTGCCACATGACTGACCACATGGGAATGCAGGTCTAGTTTCCCAGACCATCTGATATTTCAAAAAGCATAAGGAAATTCAGACTTTCTTGTGAAATCTTCTCATCTTTAAGAGTTGACAAGGTATGATCTTAAATAAGATCATGCAAGCCATGCAAATATATTTCTGTGAGCAATTTTATCCTACAGGTACCCAATTTGTAACTTCTGACTTAAAAGGGATGACAGGGACATTAGCCCGAAGCTTCCAGAGTTATGTTTTACTGTTGACAAGGAAGTTCAACCCTACTGTGAAATCTCCAACCCTTGGTGTCACAGAGTGGTCCACAGTATACTACATACTGGAAGCCAGGAGAAGAGGCACAATTACAGTTCTCTTGCCCTTACACAAAGCTACTCTTTGGATAATGGAACAGCCACAAGTTTTTATTTATGACAGACATCACCCGCTAGCAGCCCTCAAGGGATTGGTGGAAAGGAAAAGTATACCTTAGATGCATTTTTTCCATATATTATACCTTTCTTCGGTGACAAGAGAAGGAAATACGGTGCTCCGTTGGGCCATTTTCTTTTTAATAATTCACATCTTTTGAAAAAACAAGCATTAAATTATTTAAGTTTACATCTAGAACTTAAATGTTCTCAAAAGCTCATTGCTAAGTTCCTGAGTGGCTCATGAATTATGCTTATACACTGATTAGTTATATTATTAAATGCCTTATGTCTTACAAGGCAAATGTTTCCAAGTAAGAAAAGAATCAACAAAGACTGTCAAATGGAATTCCCAAAAGTCTCCTGACACACATCTCAAGCTTGTAAAATCACTTTCCCATAAATAAGTCTCTTTCCCCCTTCCTTCCTTCCTTTTTTCCTTCCTTCCTTCCCTCCCTCTGCCCCTCCCTCCCTCTCTCCTCCCTTTACCTCCCCTCTCCTCCCCCCCTCCCTTCCTTCCTTTCTTCTTTTTTCCAGTCCTGGGGATGGAATCCAGGGTCTTGCAAGTGCTTGTCACTGAGCTGCACTCCCAACCCCCAAGTCTCTTTTAACGGATTCATTCAATCCTCTATTTCTTTGTAGAAATTTTCAGTAAAGTGCCTTAGTAAATTCAATAAAGATATCTTGCATGACAATTAAGAACACTTGTTTTTAAATTAATCTAAAATAAAACAACACACGATCAATATGATCTAATTTGGAGGAATCCATCCACTAAGAGAATGAGAATGATATTCTTCATTAAGACTTTATTATAAGATATAAATCATATATGCATCAACATGACTCGTTAGAAAACTGAAGAGTTTTAAAAAGATTTCATTACTTCAGTTTCTCAATACTGCTGTTAACTGTCTTAAAACAATAAGTGCCTAGTAACCACGATCTGACTCTGAAATTAGTTCTCATTTAGACACTGAATTCAGAAAGCATTTCTGATTGACACCATTGTTTTGGCATCATCTCTCTGGTGTTTTATTTTTAGAGCTTAAAAATGTGAACACTTCACTTTCCTAGACAAAGAACTTCAAAATTTAAACAAATTACATTTAAGAAAAAAAGTAATTCATGCCAGACATGCTATAATGCCCAAGGAATTCTTAAGTGTCAAAGATAAGAATTTCTACCATTTAAACTAAATAAAATGAGGTCAATGTGGAAAATGGTATTATTTAGAATCACAGAATGTTTACAGTTTTAAAGCTGTAAGACACCTTGGTTGAGATATTCAGCTATAGGATAGTACAACCTGAGACATTCTTTGCACAGTTATTAGGTAGCCAAGTAATCTGATCAGGTAAAGGAAAAATTCTTTCCATCAATGGGACAGTTAACCCCACCATAAAACAGTGGGATAAGTAGTTAGGTATAAAAACAAAGCTACATGGGGAGGGCAAAAGGAAAGGGGTTAATTTTTTTTCTGGGAGCCAGGCCAGGGAAGAACTGATAAAATGAACAGGCTTGTCGAGCACTGGTTACATCTGTAATCCTAGCTACTCAGGAGCCAGAGATCAGGAGCATCATGGTTCAAAGCCAGCCCCAGGAAAATAGTTTGAGAGACCCTATTTTGAAAAATAGGTCGGGCAGAGTGGCTCAAGCAGTAAGAGAGCCTGCCCAGCAGGCTCTGAGTTCAAACTCAAGTGCCACACAAAAAAAAAAAAAAAGAATAAGCTTTCCAGAGTAGAGCCTGAGGAGAGGGATCCACAGCTCCAATCCCTCCCCACTCCTACTTCCTTTGTTCTCTGCTATAACCTTCCTGGCTCCTCCAGCCTATCTGACCACCCCTTACCAACTGCACCTGCTCCGATCAAGGCTCCCAATGCCAACCACCTCACCCCCACACCAACCACCCCACCCCCACCCAGCCTGAATCAGTCCATCCCACCTCTGTCTGTCTGTGTGCTCTGTGGGAATGCCCTGCCCAGCCCTGCCTGCTTAGATCTTATTCATCCTTGAGGGCCTGCCAGCCCCTCAGTCCATAAATCGCTCCTTTGGCATTTCTTCAAGCTCTCCACCTGTGCATTTTATACTTCTTTGCACTAGTAGTTTTAAGTGTTTAGTAGTCTGCCACCTATTAAATTATATGTTCCCCAAGGACATGTTTCAAATCCTTTGCTGTTGGTGCTTTGTGATTTTTTTGTTTGGTTGGTTTTTGTTTTTTGGGTTTTTTTGCAGTGCTGGGGATCCAATGCAGGTTATGCAAGAACTCTGCCATTGAGGTACCTCCCACCCTCCAAATCCCAAATCTTCCTAGGCACAGAGCTGAGTTATGGCCATACATGTTTGTTAAGAAGTGGATGGCTGGTGCTGGGTGCCAGTGGTTCATAGCTGTAATCCTAGCTGCTTTGGAGGATTGCAATTTGAGGTTAACCCAAGGAAATAGGTTCCCAAGACCCCATCTCCAAAACAACCAGAGCAAAATGGACTAGAGGTGTGGCTCAAGCAGTAGAGCACCTGCTTTGCAAGTGGGAAGCCCTGAGTTCAAACCCCCGTCTCATTAAATAAAATAAAATGTGAAGGGTGAGCATTCTGAATCAGGAACTGCAGCAATTGGAAAGTAGAGTTCTCTACTGAGATTGAATCCTACATGTTAGACACTCAACAAAGATCTGTGAGTGAATGGAGACTTTGGCCATGCCCTCCAGTGAGGTTCACTTCATCCATCTGGAATTCTCCTGCCTGAGCTACAGAAGCCCAACCAGACCAGCTTTCTGTGAAACGAGTGTCCACACACTGGTTGTTGGAGATGGCTTTACAATAGCGAACCTGCTAATTATCAGGCCCAACGCCTGTATGACAGGAAGTTTTATCTGGCTTGGGTTCACACGCCATGTATTTTTAAGATCCAACACTCAGCATATCATATCTGCACTACAATAGTGAAGTGAAGAATTACGTTTTTACTCAATTGATACTCATTTTTCTTCAACAAAAATTGTCATTTTTAATTGGCTAAATTCATGTATCATTTTACATTAAAATCATGCTACAGGATTTTGTCATTAAATTATTCAACTATTCAAATATTCATAGCTGGCAGAGTGACTCAAGTGTAAGAGTGCCTGCCTACAAGCATGAGGCCCTGAGTTAAAAACCCCGTGCTAAAGACCCTGATTTCAAATACTCATATGTGTATGTGTCCAATTCCTTTTGCTTCTTCCTTCACAAAATCCTCACGATTATTTTGCTTTAGGTCATAGCATTTTCCTTCACTCTTCTATTGATATTTTGCAGATTTTGTAAAATCTTCTATTGTGTATTTTGGAAATTAGGATATTGCATTTTCCTCATGGCATTAGAGATGTCTACGCAGAATCAATGTCCTTTCGTGCATGTGGTGAGACTCTGTGGTGAGCTCACATGGCTGATTAGTATCAAGATTCTTTCCCAGAACAATGGGATCTATACTGCAGATGAATAAATACTAATAATAAATAAGTCACTGGATTAAATACCTTTTCAAGCATTGTTTCCAGGTCTTTCCACCATCAGTTCTGACTTATCTGCCTGAAATTATCACCTTATTCATTTATAAATCCGATTATCTGACACCATACATGGGCCTATCACCTTATCAGGCAGGTCGGGGTTGTGTGCTGGGCTGATGTGCCACGGTTCACTGTTACAATAAATAATCTTCACTTTATGAGTTTAAGAACTGGGGGGAGGGCAGGGAGCATGGCCCAAGTAGTAGAGTACCTGCAAAATGAGTACAAGACCCTGAGTTCGAACCCCAATACTACCAATAAAGAAAGAAAGAAAATATAAAAGTAAAAAATTCAGGGAGACTGGGGAAGGGATGGAGTAGGTGAAGTAAAAAGAGAAGAATTAAAAGATGTAAGAAAAAGCAAACTCATAATGCCCCAAACCCGTAATCCATCGACAGAATGCAGGGCTCACACAAGATTTCAGGGAAATGGTATGACCTAAATCCAAAGAATCATTTGTGATTATGAAGATTCTGTCAAATAAGAGGCAAAAAGGAAGTAGATACATATACATGTGAATATTTGGATGTTTTAATCACAAATGGAGACATTAACGCCAACTACTACATTTTTAAAAGTAATGAGACACTGGGTAGAAATCCTGTAGCTTCATTTTATTTTCTTACTATTTTTTTTCTTTTTTGGCAGTACTCAGGTTTGAACTCAGGGCCTCACGCTTGCTAGGCAGGTGCTCTAGCACTTGAGCCACCCCACCAACCCTATTTTTGGGATGGGATTTTTTTGAGATAGGGTCTTGCACACTATTTGCCTGGGGTTGGCTTTGAACCGTGATCCTCCTTGATCTCTGCCTCCTGAGTAGCTAGGATTACTAGCTAGGTGTGAGCCACGGTGCCTGGCTCTATAGTTTCATTTTAATATAAAATGACATATGAATTTTAACCAACTAAAATGACAATTTTTAGTGAAAAAATTGAGTATCAATCAAGTAAAAATGTAATTCTTCACTTCACTACTAAAATATAGTGCTGATATGCTATGCTGAGTGTCAGATTTAAAAAAAAAAAAAAGCCAGGCAAAGCATTTATGAATAAAGAGGTTGTAATTTGGTAGTGGGGGGGTAAGCCTATTTCCTTACAGTTAAAAATAAAGAGAAGGAGAGAGGATGGGGAGTGGCCGAAGGTGTGTGGAGAGACAGGTGGAAAGCTGTTCCTGTGGCCCCCAGACTCCCCAGGCCTTGGACCACTCCCTGAGCAGTGAGAAGGGAACAGGAAGCTGTGAGGTAAGGGCAGGGAGGGCAAGTTTGGAGAATAACCAGGGCAGGTGGAACCTGGACAAGGGGCATTGTCACAGGGCCTGATGCTACCAGACAGCCCAGGATCCAAAAATGCAGGCAGCCCAGGGACACGGCGAGAGGCCTGCAGACTCACCAGGCGGCTCCATTCCCTCCTGGCCTCTCCCTGCTGCCTTCCCTCTCTTCTCTTTTCCTACCACTGACTCCCCTCCCTTAGTTTCCCTTTGTCCTTTCTCCTCTTGGCCCTATTTCACTGTCCACTTCTGTTCCATGCAGTCTCTCCTGCCGTCCTCTCACTCTGCCTTTCATGACTATGGCCGTCCATGCCATTCTGTCGTGGAGGACGTGGGCAGCA